ACATAGAACCAAGCCAAAACTTGTCACTTGAATGGTAAAGACAGAAGAGAATAAAGGCCATGTGTCAATACAGAGGACAAGACTGACTGAAGCTATTCTCCCCTTGCCTGGTGTTTACAGTTGTTTCCATGGAAACCTCACGTGGATTTCTGAGGATTGAATTTGACCCTAGGGATATATACAAGTAACTTTAGAACATTTGCTCCATTAATGTGGGGGCTCATCATCCACTTTGGCTTGTCTTTCTCGATTCCGAGCTGCAATCAGCACACAATGTATGAGACTATTATGCTGTTCCTGTTGGTTAGTGGGTGGTGTTTGGGGGGGAAGGGTACATGTTGCAAGTGAAGGATTATGGGAGGTTTCCATTCCTCACTGAGGCCGAGGTACCGAAGAGTGCTGAGCTTCCTAATCCATCCTTCCTTACTGCTCATCCATGTGAACCCTCCATTTATCCTATTCAGGTTTTCTGCTTAGTGACATTGCCATAATTAAAAGCAGCTTGTCTCTCTGCGTCTTCTTTTCCCTTCCCTTCCGTCTACATCCTGCCTCCATTTTCTTTCAAAAAGTAGCTGATGTAGAGATTTCCGATTGTATGGGAATCTGTTGCTCGCACCTTCGCGAGCTGCGCCGTCTCACTGTATCAAGTTGATGTTTTTGTTTCAGTTGGATTAGCAGGACAGAAGTAATGGCACTTTAAGTTACCATTTCAGAAGGTGAGAGATCTAGAGGAAAGCAATCCTTAGCAAAAAATAAACAGAAAGAAGCATTTTAGTGAGGAGGAAAATAGACAGAAAAACAGCAGTGAGTGCTTTGAACTGATGAGTTAGACTATAGATTTTTTTTTTTTTTTTTTTTTTTTTGGTTTTTTTCGAGACAGGGTTTCTCTGTGTAGCTTTGGACCCTATCCTGGCACTCGCTCTGGAGACCAGGCTGGCCTTGAACTCACAGAGATTTTAAAGACAAAAATTGACAAAAGAAATGTACAAGTATAGAAGTTTAAATGCATCTAGGCTGTCACTTCTAGACTGTCCAGGGACCTGCTAGTTGGATAGCGTTCCTCTGTGTGCTCATCACTTCCGACAGTTTGGACATTTCACGGTTTATTAGCAAATTGACTGGTTACAAACTGGTTTTTCTATTTACTTAATACTAGGCCAACAATTTGATGGGGGAGAGATATGTTGCAGCTCATGAAAATAGACTGCCTCCCCTGAACAGGAAACAATGGAAACCGGGAGACAGAATATAGATTCTCAGCCATCAGAAAATACTGCAAGAAACATGGGTTTTACAGGCCTCTCAAAATCTCTCCCACAGGATCATGTGTGGGTGGAGATTTCATACATGCTACCTTTCTTCTTTACACGTCTCTCTCCTACGTGTAGAATGTTACACTATATTACCCTCCTTAGGACTAGAATGCTACTGGCACGATTGTAATTCCTTTAGTCATGTGCTTTTTAGGAGTTAGTTGTTGGCCAGCTGTACCTCAGAATGCCCCCACCCCATCCACCCTTCACTCCCCAGGATGGGTAGGGCCCTCGACAGGGGTTCCCCTAAGTCCACCACATCATCCTGGGCTGGGCCTAGGCCCTTCCCATGTGTCCAGGCTGAGACTTGGGATGGGCTCTCAAAGTCCCTTCTTACACCAGGGGAAAATACTAATCCACTACCAGGGGCCCCCTAGAGTGCAGAGGCCTCCTCATTGACATCCATGTTCAAGAGTCTGGATCAGTCCTGTGCTGGCCTCCCAGACAGCAGTCTGGTGAATATGATCAGTATATTGTTTTAGCTGAGAATACTTATCTAATCACATTAAAAGATTTTTATTCTACTGCTAAAAAAGAAAAAAGATGAAATGTAATTGCTTTTTTGGGCTTTCTATTAAAGAATAGCATAAGACAGGACTGTGCAGTTCAGTGAGTTTTCAGGAGCTGAAAACCGTGAATGAACACTAAGACCAAGACAGACTGCAGCTCCCACAGGCCTCTGGGGCTTCCTTCCATTCAATTCTCTGTCCCACCCCCACTGAAGCTAAAGACCATCCCCATGTTGACCCTTTAATTTTCAAATATTCCGTAGTTTTCTCACCAGGTTTATTGGCTGACGTTTTGTGGGAGAGCAAAGGGAGGTGGCTAATCCCCTATAGCTGGCTTCTTTGCATTGTGGGATTTTCCTAGCTGTTAATTATTAACTTTTCCTTAAAATAAGACTTCCATTGTGTGGGGAGAAAAGCTCCATGAGCATAGTGCATGTGATATAAATCACTTTTATGTCTGTGAAACAGCTGAGTTTACATTTTTATTACATTGTTTGAAAAAGTATCTTTTCATCTGGAAAGAATCAGTTTAAAATGTGATTGTCAACACACGGGTGCATGCTCGTGCGTGTGCGCGCGCGCGCGCACACACACACACACACACACACACACACACACACACACACACACATACACAGAGTTTTCTGTTTAAAATGGCTGCCAGTCGAGCTAAGAACTATTATTAAGCCAGACTTTTGTTCATAGATATTAGTAACTAAAACTTCATTTTTTCACTGAGATTTGTCAAAAATTGTCTTTGTTTTAAAAGCAGAGAAGGTGGTGCTATGTTTGTTTCTTTGTTTGTTTGTTTAGGTGGGAAGAGTAAATAATTGGTGGGTAAGTTTATTATTGTAAGGGGCAGAGTGCTTTCCTAAGAAAGTTGATGTAGCTACATGAAGTAATACTTAAAGTAATGTTTGTATATATAAAGTGTTGTCTAATTTGAATAATTTACTTTGAAAGGGATGCTGTATGTTTCCTAATTAGCAACTGTTCCATATTTTTCTCTAAAACGTTTTTTGATTTAATTCTGAAAAAGAGTATATCCCTCTATAAATATACTATTGTTCCATTGCCTTAGCCATTCTATTATAGGTATAAATGAGTTTGAAAGCCTATGACTCCATGCTATATCCACTAATCACTTGAGATTTCCTTTGAATGATAAAACAGAAAAGGGAAGAATAGATCTTTGAATGTTATGTTTCTGCTACATTTAAGCTTAAGCTTTACTAGTAAATGAAAATTGCTATGTGCATGAGTACACTGGAAGATGCTGAGGAGACTTTGACTACACGGCCCCTGTGTGCACAACGAGTGCAATTTTATACTAGTTAAACCCTTCCTGTTTTGCACAAGCATATGTACATCTTAAACAAGATTTTGAAGTTTTGATTCTTCCATGGATTTTTTTTTTTTTAGGCTCAAAAGTGTCACAAGCTTTTTGGAGAACAAAAGTTCTCCACTACCCATAACTGAGTAAACTATAAAATGATTTAGCTATGGGCAGAACAGAGAGCATTTTGACTGTCCTAAATGGGTTTAGGTTTGAAAGAACTCTGTGCATCTGATGTTAAATCCATGGCTATTCTTAACACGAGAAAGCAGAGCGAACTCCCCATTCCATGTGTGGCCTGGCAAGAGCAGGTGTATCAACACCTGGACAGCCAAAGGAGAGATGTGGAAAACTTAAGAGACTTCAGTAGGACATGAGGCTCTCACCCTCAAAACTAGAATTTAAGTTATTGAAGTCTCTGCACAGATTTGAGCTATGGTGGTGTTGACTTATTTGGCTTGGACATTATGTTTGAGATAGTAATAATTGTTATTCTGTTTATCACAGAAGATGGACTTATACAGGAACATGTAGCCACAATTCAGACAAGAAGCTTTAGCCAAAGCATTTCTCTGTATCAGCTGTCCCTTTAGCTGGAGTACAACCCTTGACTGCATCTAAATGCACTCACTAAGTGAGAACAGACAAATTCTATACAGTCAAAGCTTTTTCTCCTGCCTATCTTTTCATTTTGTATGTTTTTCTTTGGCATTTTCCTTTATCCTTACCTGCCTACACATGTGTTTGTGTTGAATGTTAGTCGTGGGATGCAGTGGGTACCGTCTGTTTCATTGAGGAGGTTAAAAGAATTGAAATTTCAAAAAAAAGTGCTATGAAAATGAAACCATAATCGCCACTGTAACTACATTTAACTGCCATCGATTTTTTTCTGGAAAAGAAATGTCAGGCTCCTTTTCGCTTTGATCCATGTCCATTTTCCCCTGAAGGTATCTGCTTTTGTTCTCTCAAAAAAGAAAAAGAAGAAAAAAAAACACAACTATGAAACATTTGAAGGAAAACCAGATTTTCTGTGGCAGACTTGAAACATTCGGGACTCCTATTATTATTAATTCACTTTTATTTACAAGAAAATGTCACAATAATATCACATTAGCTCCAAGTAATCCAGCTACCATTAGAGTTTTTTTTATTTCTATCATAAAATCAGAATTTTTATTTCTCTTATAAATTTGATATTTATATGTATTGTACTTATCAGACCATAAATGAAATTAAGTGGACAATGTTAACATTCAGTAAAACATTAAGACATCATTGAAATAAAATACATCAACATTAACAACAACAACAACAATAAAAAACCCAGGTAGTTCTTTTCTGGGAAATCTGTAAATATTTGGTGCAGACAATAAAAAAAAAATGAGTAAACTATATCTCCAAAGTTTCTTGTTTCACCTAGAATTTATTAATTTGACATGTCCATTAAGCCATACCCACCCTGCCACCCAACTGTTGGAAAGATGATATTTTCTAGGTCAGCAGAACAGCTAGAGAGAAAGCCTGACTTCTTTTCTTAGAAGGCCAAACCAGTAAGGCAGGTTTAGTTCTCCGGGTTATGAGGTCCTCGCCGAAAAGAAGGGAGGTGAGTGGCACCAAAGTCTGTCCCTTCAGTATCAAGGGAACCCAAACATCCCCACCAGGACTTTAACTAGGTGCACATTCCTCAGTTATCTGTGAAAAATATGCGGAGAACTGCTAAGTATTTTACAGTTTTACAAAATACTTTCATGAGGCAAACAGATTAGGGGTGCAGGTGCCCTCATCGTGATCCTCCATAATTCAAGGCAGCCTGGTGCTTGGGCTCCGGAGATCCATAAAGAGATGAGCAGTGAGAGTCAGCATCCCAGACACCTGCGTCGTGCCTGGACAGTAGGCCACTCTTTACGGAAAACTGTTGGCAGTGGCAGCAGTTTGCAGCTTCAGACGAGAGCTTCAGGTAATGCCCTCCATCAGAGCCTTGATGACAGGCAGAGGAGAGCAAGTTTTTTCAGGTGCTCCACTTGCTCGCTAATCCTTCAGTGCCGTCTCCTCCAGCAAGTGAGAGGGACCCATCGGTAATGGACATCAGCCATTAAGCTCCTAATATTTGTCATCTATCAGGTTACCTCTTTGTGACTCCCAAGTGATGGATGGGTGCTGTTATGCCTTAAGAAAATAAAGCAATGCTATAAATATGCCCAGGCTTATGGGAGCAGCTGCTTTATTTCTTCCATGTCTTGAGAAATAAATGCAAAGTATTCCTGAAACGCTTAGCTTTTCATTTCAAAATACAGAGTGCAATGTGCTTTATGTTAGTGTTTGTAGTTGCCTAGCGTCCACATCAAATTACTCTCGGGGCGTCCATAGCGTGTTTCAGCAGGGCTTGATACAGCTCAGTTTATGCTTTGCACAGCACTCTGATTAAAACAGGCCTGCTTGCAAAGAACTGTTGCCTGAAACCCTTGGCACTCACAGGAGCAGAAATGGAGCAGGGTACGGAGGTGTTAAAAAACGCACAACTCTTAAGGAATTCTCTCTATTGGTGATTCTGGAGCTGCCAGACATGTTTCTGCTGTCACAGGATGAAAGAATAATCTTGAGGACTTTCTGTTGTATTTCAGTAAGAAAGTTTTTAGAAAATGAAATTGTACTCATTTACACCTGTTTTGCTGATGTGTTTGTACAGTTGCCTGCAATAGTATTTATTCTCTCTAAGACTGAATTTCTGTATACTCTCATGTTTTTCTAATTGAATATCAATTTCTACATTAAGTTCTGAGCTTCTTTAAGACTGCTGGCCGTTTCAAAGCATCTAGACACTGAACTCTAGAGCTAGCATACTTATGTATGCTTTAAAATCATTTGAGTTTTCACATTTCACTGTTTTGTTGTTCTTTTTTAAAATGCTATTGTGTTTAAAGGGGAAAGAAATAGTGACTGTGCTGAGGTGAGATGCTAAATCAGTTCAGGAAGGAATTGAATAAATGCTGGCTCTGAACACCCACCGACCTCTCCACTGCCTGTCAGAGTATCCCAAGTAGAATATAGCTCAAGGGCCATTTTGCAAACTGTTATAATAGCCCCTATTCTCTTCCTTCTTATCCACTGCTTCTGCCAACTAGCCAAGTACCCAAAAGCAGGTACCTCAAATTTTGTGAGAATATAGCTCCTTCAGGGCCTTCATTAAGTGAGAAGGAGCACCATCCCGGTCCCTGCCCCAACACTGTAACTTTCATTTTCAAGGCACTCAGTGCTGCTTCTGTAACCCTCAAGCAAGAAAAATCTTATGGAGGACAGTGGCTGTGTGTGTGTTTATTTTACTACCATGGGCTCATAATTGCCAAGAGGTGAGGGGCCTCCCTTCCATCAGCTCTAATTGCTGTGAAGGCCCGTGGGCTTCTACCAAGGCCTCAGCATTGCCTGGAACATTTCCTGTAAGGAGGCTGGAACCTGGGGTGCAGGGCTACGTGCCAAAGTCTTTCAACATTTCCCAACCCCCAATCTTTATGCCATTTTTCCTCCATTTCTAGATGGTCGTTCTTTTAAAAACCTTTTAGAGTTTCAGGAGCATCTAATACGAAGTAGGGAATAGTTCAGAGCTTGTCTGCAAGGGAGAACCTGAGTCATCTCAGGACCCAGGAAAGGAACTTTTACCAAGAGATTGTTGTACAAATTAAACTATTGATGAATTTAAACCTGACCATCAAACAATAGTCCTAGGAATTTAGACACAATTAAGAATGAGATGGTGTGGATTTTGTGATGAATCTTGATTAATTTTCATACGGAGCTGTTTTAACAGGCAGTTCTGAATGGACCTGACCTTCCTGTAGCAATATTACAGAATTACAGAATATGTATTTAGTACATGGCCTCTGAGGGAGATCATTGCCTCTAACTTGTTCAGAGTTTAAATTCAGATATTCAAACATAAGCTTTAAAAAAAAGCAGCATATCAATTGTATTTGAAGAACAATATAGAGGCTTGAAACGTGCCAAACAGCAGGGAACAGGAATAACCCTTAACGAGAACCTATTCTGGTGTTGGGTCCTTTATATACATTACATTATGCCTTCTTCACAACAACCTTTGAGGTAGCTTTTATTGTCCCCATTTTATAGGTGGAAACTGAGGGGTCTGAGGTCCCACAGCTAATAAATAAACCCAGGCATGTCTGATTCCAGAGCCCATGCTCTCTCCTGTTCACCAGGGTGCCTTCCAAGAATCAAACCCATGGTTAGCCTTTTTAAATGACAAGAAATGTCACACCCATCCTATGAAATCATGTCCAGTGGCACCATGTTCTTTTTCTACCAAAAAATGCCTCACGTTATCAAAGCAAAATTTCAGTATCTGTTTCCAGCTGGTCTCGGGTCACATAATCTGTACATTAAGCACTTAATAAAGGCTTTCGAGAGTCCTCCAGCCTCACTGCAGTCGGACTGTGTAATATAAACATGTATTACAGAAATGAGAGCTCTGAAATCCATTTTCCACAGGTGTTACCTCTACATGTCTGTTCTTGCAACTCATTATTCTTCTTGCAGGGTGACTCCACCTGGTCCCCAGAGTGTGCTTTCATCAAAAGAATGCTTGTCTATAGGACCTAGCATGCAACGACAACCAACTCAAGTTCAACTACTGGGGATCCTGACACACTGATCTACATAAACTGCTCTACATAGTGTAGCTATAAACCATGTAACAATGGTATTCTAATAATAATTTGTATTCCAGTAGTGCCTTTTGGTTAGAAGCTCAAACAGCTTTGTGCCTATTGTCTCAATAATCCTCTCGCCATTCCTCTTATCTGGGGAAGGGAACCAGATACATTTTTCTTTACATGAAAGCTACTCTCTGTGACTGACAGAGCGGTGTGACAGACAATTAAATGCATGTTAATGATCCAACAAACATGTTTTGCTTGCTTGCAAGTAGGTCTGGCTTGGTTGTGTTTTGTTGTCAAATCTAAAACCCAAACAGAATCAGAATTCCATGGGAAAAAGTAAATCGGTGCAAGTGTATGTGCTTCACTGTGCTCAGTGTGTGTGTTCACTGTAACGCCAGAGAGAGACAGTCAGGTCACAAGTGAATTTCACTGATCTGCACCCTACATAACTACTTTATTTTTAAAGGCAGACTGCCTATCGTGTGTGTGTGTGTGTGTGTGTGTGTGTGTGTGTGTGTGTGTATAACTCAGAAGTCTCTGACTTTCTCATCTGTAAATTGGGCAGCCTGTTAGTGGACTCATGGAACAAGGCAGCAAGTACCTGTGTTGAGTGCTCTGTATTTCCATTCCCACCTCTGATAAAGGGAAGGGGAACAGGAAGCCCAGTCACTCTAATCTGTTTCCTGTACTCTTGCTTTTGCTACTAGACATAACCTGATTGAACTTAACTTGTAAGTCCATTTCAAAAAAGAGTCACTATGCTTTGTGCTGGGTGCACCTGAGATGGCTGCTTCTAATGAAGTCTTTTACAGTCCAGCTCTCTCACTGAAAAGATTATGGTTGATCTTTAAGATGTCAGGGCACTGGGCATAGTAATCACAGCAGTTAGGAGACTTAGGCAAGAAGATCCTGAGTTCAAGGACAGCCTGGGAAAACAAGGTGGTGAGGTCACTTCTGGAAAGAACAGTGGGTTTCTTTTCTTCTCTTCTCTTTTCTTTTTTTTCCCCAGACAGGGTTTCTCTGTGGCTTTGGAGGCTGTTCTGAAACTAGCTCTTGTAGAACAGGCTGGTCTCGAACTCACAGAGATCCACCTGCCTCTGCCTCCTGAGTCCTGGGACTACAGGCATACGCCACCAAGGCCTGGCAGAAAGAATAGTTGGTTTCTTAGGAGAGCACTTAGGTTTCTTATACCGAGCCAGGGTCAACATTCTGGCAGTATGCAAATCTTGTGTGCTGCATGGGTATATTTATTTCTATCAGAAACTATTAAACTTCTTGCTTAACAAGCCTCATTTAAAACACTATTTCTTAAAACACTATATTCACTATGCTAGGAGTCAGTGGAGATCAAATGTGTCTGTAGAAAATGCTACAAGCCACAGCTTAATATAAACATCAATCTGCTCTTAGGAACTCACTGATGCTGCCTGGGCTCTATGCTTAAAACCAATAACTGTATCCAACAAATGTCTAACAATCTAGATAGTACTTTTGTTAGTTAAAAGGAAACCTTTAACCAAAACAATATGCAAATTTCTGAGCTCCTGAATTTTCTTTCATATTTTGATTCATTTTTCTTAAAAATTGTTTTTCTTAGAAAAGCAATATAAATTTGGACACTGTCTTGCAGAGTGAAGACTCTAGAGGAGAGAATGTGACACAGGATTTGCACTAATTTGTACTTGATGTGGGGAAATAACATCAGTAAACATACACGTTTCCCCCTGATGAATCGGGTTGAAAACCACTCTCAGACAAGAGTGTTTATTCACAGTGAAGAAGTTCTGCCACACTGCTGTTGGGGGTGGGGATCCAAAATTAAACATACTGAAAAGGTTAAGAATAAGTTTTACCCTACCTGCATTGCTCTTCCCCACCAGGGTAGCATATCCCAAGTGCAAAGAGAATCTTCTCAGCTCACAGTTCCTCCCCCAGGAGAAATCAAGAGTGTAGTAACTAAGAAGCATCTCCTCAAGCCATACAGTGTGCTACCCAGGATACCCACCTCTCTCTTGCCCCACCCAGGAAAATGACACCAACATGGATGAGTGTCTAGGAAACGATGGCAACTTGGCACTCACAAAGAAACAGGCTTAAAACTCAATAAATGGCTACTATTAGCTGCTTCAGGGATGCTGCCCATGTGCCACTTAAGGAGGATGTCTTGCCTGTCAACACCTCTACAAGTGGCCTATTGGTTTTCCCAAACACTCTGTATGCCACACTTCCCTACCCTCCTGGTTGATTCCTTTGAGAAGTCTGGCTCAACCACAACTGTAGGTGATGA